ACGGCGAAGGCGATTAAGGCGACGAAGCTGTCGATTAGACAGTGCATGAGGCGAATGTGGCGTTAAGCCTAACCGACGACAACACGTCGGGTTGATGTACGCGGTGCCAGTCGCCCCGGTATCAAAGAGAATTGAGGCGGGCTGGTGCCCGACCTGGCCGGTAAACGTCAAACGAGGCTGGTCTTGTGAGACCCCTCTGATGCGGTGTTCCGCTGAACCCACAAAGGGTTGGTAATATACGTTCACAGGCCAAGGAATGCCGGGCATTTCCTTGCGACCAGGACGATCATCCTGCGGTTGTGTAAACAACCGGGTACCCTTTGGGTAATGTACCAGAATGCGCAAGGTGCGCAACCGGGGATCGTCCGTAAACGTTCGCCATGCAGGCAGTAATATACATGCGCCTACTTGTGTAGGAGCTTTTGCTCTTTCAGCAAAGTAATAGTCCAAGAAGGACGCTGCCTTTTGGAAAGGTGGATTAATCCACGCAAATTCATGAGCGAGTGGTTTCCGTAGGAAACTGTCGGCTCGTGAGCAATATCGTTCGCAAAGTGCATTATCCCCATTGGGGTTGGCACATGCATCGAGTGTGAAACGATATGCAATCAGTGATTGAATGTGCTGAAAATGCGTAGGGTGCAACATGCGATCAGAACGATCGAGGTCACTGCGAGGACCCTTTTTGGTCCTGTCCGGCTGCGCCGGTGTGTGAGACAATTTCATCACACGATTCACAGCAATTTGTGCAGCTCGCACTTTCGGAACAGGAATCACCGGTGCTGCATTCATGCGCACATCCATCGGTGCAGTTCGCAGTTTCACATTGGTGATATTATGCTTTCGCATTGCCAAACACAGTTTGGTGGAAGCATGTAACGCTGACACGCGTTTGCGAGCGGGACTCACCGGCATCTGTGGGAGTACTCCACGCCCTTCGCATTCGCGAGGATGGTCAGCTGAGTAGGGCTTGAAGCACTTATAACAGCGTCCAGCCCGCTTCAGGACTTCCAACGTGGTGTCACGTAATTGCGCACTGTTGGTGACCATCTTTTCTTCCATTGGGTCGCGGATATCGGCCAGCGGCTCGTAGTTCCGCTCCCCATGCGAAGCCTGCGGCTGCATTTTCATAGCAACACGAGAACCTTTGTAAGTCGTCCCTCCTTGACCTCTCGGTCTGTTATTCAAAACTGGTTTGCCACGACGATCCACTTTCAATGCGTGGTATTTTTGAATAACTCTGTTAGGAGCAAGACGATTACTCGTGTGCGGTTTGCCATCCCGGCTTTCATTTCGACGAGAGCCATATGCCTTATATTCTTGGTCATATGTTGGTCCCACTTTATACAAATGTGCCCTCAGGCTGGCGTAAGTGGTCCATTGCTCATCAT